GCTACCAGGTAGGAGAAAGAGAGGAAGGCCAAAGAGGAGATATATGGATGTAGTGAGGGAGGACATGCAGATAGTTGGAGTCAGAGTAGAAGATACAGAGAACAGGGAGAGATGGAAATCAATGATCTGCTGTGGTAACCCCTGAAAAAGGGACAAAGCTGAAAGAAAAAGAAGAAGACACTTTTTGACAGCAGTATTCCCTTCACACAGTATTGTACATCTCACATCAATAGTAATGTATTTAAAAAAAAAAATTAAAAAGCTAATTTTTCAGCAGCACATTCCTAACTCTATAATGGGCTCCTTAAGTTAAGATAAATACATTTGAACTTGAACTTTAAAAAAAAAATAATAAAGAAATTATAAATGTGTTCCGTACAAGAGAACAGTGTTACATAAAATTTACAAAACACGTAAAAATACAAAAAGATTCAGATAAAGAGTGACAGTTGAAAGAGTACTCTATGTCTAAGTCATGCAAGTGGCTGAAATCTAAAACGTCTTCTACGTTGTCGGCCAAACAGGGTTATTGTCTATTGCACAGTCTATTAAATCACTAGAATCTCGACGTACATTATGGAGATTTGTGTTTTTGGTAAACAATTGTAAATGTATGGCTGATTAGAACTGCATAATAAATGGCTGGGCCACATAAAATGATGGAGTGTGCCACTTCTGTGACACAGTCCAGCTCTTGCTGTGGTGAAATAATAATTGCTGCGGCAGTTGCAGTAATTATGTACAATGTTGTGCTTAACTGTTCTTTCTCCTGCCGAAAGCTGAGGAATAATCAGTCTCCAGTCGTTTCACTTACAAACGAAGAGCTGTTTTGTTTACAACTGACCTGTTACTTGTGTTCAGTGTTAGTGAGCAGAGAGCATATTTAAAAAAATATAACGAAAGAAAACAAACACACTGTGTAAGGTGATTAAAAAAAAACAGAATTAGTTGTTTTTTTAAATAGATATTTTTTTCTTACTTTGGACTTTCTCACTTTGGTCCACTGCTGCATCCTCTGGTCAGTTTGTGTCACTGCGGTTTAATTAGAACAAACAGGGAAGTCGTTAAAAAACACTATAGAACTTAGCAATGGCGGCACCAGTAGTTGCCTCAAAATTAACAACTTCTTTGTCGCTGTAAAGTTATTGCTTTACAAACCTTTAACGTTAAAATGCAGTCACATTTCAAATGTGTTAAAATATCTCCTTTTAATCACACTCACCCTGTGCGTTTTTTCCTTTTTTCTTCTCTCTCAACATCCACAATCAGATCATGGATGGACCTGGAGACAACGACCCAGACCTCGTCGCAGCCTCCCACCCCAGGTTTTGCGAGGCCATCAAGATGGATTTGGCAGAATACATCTCTCTGTTCACCAGAACGTTCGAGAACAAAACCTTCCATGTTTACAGGGTCAAGAAGAAACGTAGGAAAAGTACCAAGAGCTGGTCAGAGAGCAGCGGGACTCAATAACAGCAGAAAAACAAAAAAATGTAAAAACCTGTCAGAGGCCGGGGGGGAGGGGGGAATGAAGATTCAGGAAAAAGTAAAAACCTGTCAGAGGCCGGGGGGGGATGAAGATTCAGGGGGTGATGGTCTCACTGTTCCTCTGCCCCACCGTACGGAGCTCAGCTCCCATCATCTCCATTATTTTTTAACACATGGTATTGGGAAGAGTGCTGATGGAGCAGCAGGTCGCTTCATGCTGAAGGTGGTGGTGGTTTGAAGAGTAGTCGTGGGGCGGGGGCTCCTGCAGTGCACATCTGGGTGCTCCTCCATCTCCTGCTCTAGTCAGCTGCTGAAATATTTCAACAAAGATCAACTGCCCATGTGATCAACTTGTTCCGTACTTTATGTTTGTGTAGCTTCATTAGTGGGTAGAATAAAATACATTTCTTACTGTGGTTCACACTTTGGTGTGAATCAGACATCGAGTCAGAATTTGCCAAAAGATAAAATCAGTGTTAAATGTAATGCTGTCAAAATTGAAGCCCTGAATGTTTACATATTTGAAAAAAAATCTAGTTTCTTTACCAAATGTCTTGATGTGGTAAGTTTTTTTTTTAAATCAAAATCATTGTTTATAGATGTTAGCCATAGTTAGCTAACAGGAGGTAAGAGAGGCTAAACATAAAAAAAATGGAGGACAGCTAACATTTGGTACCAACTATACAGGAACTGAACCAAATAGCTGCAAGTAATAGTGCCATCAGACAGTACCAAAAGCAGATATGTTACTACATTGCACTCGGAGGTATTGTTAGAAAGCTAACAGTAAGCTTAGCATAGCATCTAGCGACATTCAGTATTTTCATGTGACTTTTGTATCCCATGTGGGCAGAGTGAATCTGTGAGTTTTGTATGTGTTTAAACAATAAAATTTAAAAAAAACAATGGGCTGAGTCATACATCTCAAGCTCTATACTACCATGATACTCGCTGAAATAATGTGTTACATTATTTTTTTTTAACATTTTAACCAACAAGTGCGATTAAAAACATTGAGCAAGAAAACAGTTCCAAAAAGGACCCTAGTCTCTAGAACCGAAAATACAAAACTTGGGAAAAAAATCAAATCAATCAAATACATCCTCAAATACATCAAATACATCCTGTAGTTTTAGAATATTCCTGGAGCAGGAACTGTTTAGGGACAGAAAAGTACAAGTGCTGCATTGTTAAATTGTTCTGCCTAAAAAATACCTCATCCTGCAGTTAAAACACATTAGTACTTATGGTACTGCTCCTTCGTCTGGTATTTGTCAGCCATTTTAGTGCTAAAAATGTTGTCCCTAATACCGTTGCCTGTCTTTACAGTGGTATTATGGCTCACACTTGTCCTTACAAGTGCAGACAGACAGGTCCGCCTGTGTATGCGTCATGAATAATGCAGTGCATTGCAGACATGGGAGTGGGTTTAACAGCTTGCTGATTTGCTGCTGCAATCTAAAATACTTGGAGTGAAATAAGACACAAGACAACAGTGGAATAAAAAAAACTGAGGAGGATATTAAAGGTACCTGTGTGAGGTGTTCGTCACAACGGCGGCCTGGCATTTTCATCAAAACCTGACAGTTGTTTTACCTATAAAAAACACAAAACAAAACAAGGGTTGTTAAAAAAAGGCGTTTCAGTCATTTCACCTCAAAGTAAAATGTTAATTGGTTTATTGATTTTTGAAATATGAATCAATCTGACTCTTCAAAACCACCAACCAAGAAAAGCAGGTGTGCTGTGTAAGCTAACATTTAACATTTAGTTTAGATGGATGTCAGTGTTTTCACATATGAATACGAATCAGATAAGTGGTAGCAGCAGTAACATCAACAGCACTAATACCCATCACTCTCTATTAACTAACTAAAAATTAAAAAATGTATTTGGTTTTATTATTAGCAGTAAGGTAAACAAATAAAAAAAACAAGATTAAAAAACCTATTTTTGCCAATGTAATCCCATCTACTGCACCTTTAAACGGTTTAAACCTGTGTGAAAACGCATCAGGACACTAATCCTAATATGAGCTGACGGATCGCTTCACGCTGTAAATACATGAAATAGCCTAGAGTCATAAAAAGACACAGACGAAAATAATCTCATGTTAAGGATTTTCAGAAACAAAATGTTTTTCTTTTAATGTGTTTCAGTACATAAAGTAAAAATTATTTAATACAAATTATATAAGTAAATATTTAATTTAGGGGTTGCACGACTTCAAGTCCATTCTCATATAGAGGCTGATCATTAAATTTTCATTCATGAAAAAAGTGTTTAAAGAAGTCAAAGGAGGAAGGAGCACTTTGTAGTAATAATAATAATAATAGCAATAATAATAATAATATGATATGGTATAATACGATTGTGTCAAAATGAGCTACAAACAAATTATGACCAAATATAATGATAAGTTATTCGTGAGAACAATGCAACAATACTGTTTACAACTGAAATGGTCTTGGACAAGGACTCCACTGATACACCTATCAGTGGAGTCCTTGTCCAAGACCATACCCATAGACAGCCAGGTGCATTTTTTAGTGATAGTAAGACTATAGTCTTA